GGGCACGGACAGGCAACAAGGCGGCGTCGTTTGGGCGGAGGCCCGAAAACGCCGCGTGCGCAGAGTCGGCGTGCAGGTGGTGCTGATCATCGGGGCGAGTGCGACAGATCGGCGAGGCTAGACGGCCGGACGGGGCGGGGCGGGGCGGGGCGGGGCGGGGCGGGGCGGGGCGGGGCGGGCCGCGTGGGCGGGGACGGCGTTGTATTTCGGTCGCACACTCCGCCGCCCCCGCGATACTAGCGCGCTAAAAATACGGCCATGTTTAAAAGGTCGGCCACTACGGCGGCAAGTACCCGCGCACCGCGCAGGCCGTCGTCCCGGCGCCAGCCTTGGCGGCAGCGCGGCAGCCGCCCAGAGGCCCAGAGCACGCGCAAGCACGCGGCCAGCGGCGCGTACACACGCACCCGGAGTGTTCACCACCGGGCTGTATAGCGCTTGGATTCAAGACCGAATCCAGTGAGCGTGTGCGCGTAGAGACAGCGCGTCCAAACGTGATGCAACCAGTGGAGGCACCATGACGGCCGCCTGCATCACGGGCCGCCCGGCGCCGCGTCGTGCCGCGTCTGGCCTCCCATTCACACGGCCGTACGCGACGCCCCGCCCCGCCCCGCCCCGCCCCGCCACTCATCAATGGGACGCTCACGTGACGCGGAGATAAGCAATCGGCAGACACGGCGATAACCGCAAACTGCAAGCCGAGCGGCGGCGGCAACGCGACACCGTGCAGGGCCTCGGCCGTCTCGGCGCCGCGCCGGCGAGCAGGTGCAGGCCTGCAGGCACCGCCACCGCGGCCAACGCCGAGGCCGCGCGGGGCGGGGCGGGGCGAGGGGGTTCAACGGGGTCCAACGGAGTCCGAGTCCGACCACTTGATCACCACCCCAAATAGATCCATCCCAGGCAACTTCTAGACTCTACCCAAACTTCAATCCCACATGGAAGGTCCCCAATACCTTCTCCCTTTTTTTCCGGGACTTGAAGGCGTAACGTAGGGAAAAGGTTTTCTCGTCTTCTTTGACTCGAGCAAAACTGGGTGAACACCTTCCCCTCGCTGCAAAATAAAGAAACGCTGGGCCGCGGTGGAGCCGACCAGATCCATCTCGGCGCGGCCGCGACGCCCAGTCCCAGTCCCAGGTCAGCGGCCGTTGGGCATAAGGACGTAAGTCACAAGGGAAACCTATTGAAAATAGGTTGTTCTGTCCGATGACCACTCAGGTGTGCACCGAAGCGGCGACGGCGTCACCCGCTTATCGGGCGCCTCGCCTGACTCGGGGCACGCCGTGGGCACGTCGCGCCCGTGCCGCGGCGGTCCAAGCGCCACCGCCACCGCGCGCCACGCCCCTCGACTCGACGACGGACAGGGGCAGGGCAGCACCGCGACCGGCCCGGACCGTCCCGGACCGTCCCGGACCGCCCGGAAGGCAGGCCAACCCGGCAAATCTCAGCCCCACTGGGCCGGGCAGGCCGGGCCGCCGGAAGTACAAGCACACGTACACACCCCAGTCCCGGTGCCCGGGCCCGGCACGGGCGGCAGCGAGCGGCAGCGTTTCCAAAGGTTCGCTTTCAAAATGGCGCTCGACGCTCTGCTCTACCCCGTCTCGGCCGCACTGTTGTTGAAGAGTCGACCGCTTCCCCGCTTCCCTCTCGCACACTCTCTCTCTCTCGCACACACATACTCTCAGTCTCGCAGTGGCAGCGCGGCGCGGCGCACCTTGAAACATCGGGCACGCCGCACCGCAAACGCAGACCAGCCGTTTGATTCCGAACAGTGCTTTCGTCGCTCCGTCTCTCTCGCACTCGCGGGGCGTCCCGCTGCGTCCCGCTGGTACCGCAGGGGTAAGAGAGAGCGCGACGGCGCACTGTTCGGAGTGGAGCTGCAGAGCGCCCCGCCCCGCCCGTCTCGTCTACTTTACGTGCAGGCCGAGCCTGGCATGGCCTGGCCGGGCCTGGCCGGGCCTGGCACCACCACGCCGATGGAGTGCTCAGTGCGGATTACACTAGACGCCCTACTGGCACCCCGGCACCCTTGCCCGCACCCCACCCCAACCTCTGCCAAACGCCCGCCCGCCCGCCAGCCCACCCGCCCGCCCCGCCCCACCGCGGCCCCGCTCGCGGGCACGTGGACTACTGGCTGCGCCCAAATAAATGCTCCGCGCACAACACGGACAAAACCTAAAGTCACCACAGCGCAGCAGCGCCGCGCCCCGCCCGCCCGCCGCGCCCCGCCCGCCGCGCCCACCACGCCCCGCCCACCGCGCCACGCCCCGCCACCGCGCACGGTAGCCGCAGCGCGCACAGCATACGGCGAGCTCTCAAAAAATGCAATAAAGCGGGTGTGGGGAGTGGCTGGTGTGGCGACAACCATAACCACCGCCACCCCGCAACACAGCGAGCACACCGCAGCGACATCGCCAAAGTCACATCGTGCAGAGGACGCTAGTGCGGCTGGTCAGCGGGTGGAAACTCTATTGCCGAAATAGGCATGCAGAGGTGTTTTGTTCACGCTAGATCTCAGGATCCAAGAGAGATAGGTTAAATCCGTGGGCATATTTGGAATCCTCATAAAATTTCACGTGGCGTAGGGTATGTTTAGTGTCAGACGCTGAGTAAATGATCGGTCATTTTGCCATAGGAAAGTAAAAAATAGGTCAAAATAACACTATGAAACAAGGATCGAATTTTCGCTTTTCCGGAAATAGGTATTTTGTGTTCCTAATGTGAGAGAACGGAAAGACAATTCAAAATCTGAGCACAGATCTGAATTCAGCGCACTTTTCTCTGTGCAAATCACTTCTCGGGTGTCAAAGGAGGCCGTCAGTACCCTTGAAACGTGCGGTCAATCGCAGACTGTTTTGTCAATTCTACGCAATGCAGTAGCTGCATACTTGTAAGTACACAGCGACGGTTGACTGTGATAATACAGACCCGCCCGCTCTCGTCTACTTTACGTGCAGGCCAGGGCATGCTGCGGCCTGCGGGCCTGGACCACCACCGATGGAGTGCTCAGTGCGGATTACACTAGACGCCCTCTGGCACCCGCACCCTTGCCCGCACCCCACCCCAAAACCCCTGCCAAACGCCCCCCGCCAGCCACCCGCCGCCCCGCCACCCCCGCTCGCGGCACGTGGACTACTGGCTGCGCCCAAAATAAATGCTCCGCGCACAACACGGACAAAACCTAAAGTCACCACAGCGCAGCAGCGCCGCCCCGCCCGCGCGCCACCACCATCCCGCCCACCGCGCCACGCCCCGCCACCGCGCACGGTAGCCCGCGCGCACAGCATACGGCGAGCTCTCAAAATGCATAAAGCGGTGTGGGGAGTGGCTGGTGTGGCGACAACCATAACCACCGCCACCCCGCAACACAGCGAGCACACCGCAGCGACATCGCCAAAGTCACATCGTGCAGAGGACGCTAGTGCGGCTGGTGCAGGGCCCCCTCGGCCTGCCTAGCAACACCACACCGGGGGCGCTCCGCTCATCGCCGTTCGGGATGATTGTGGCACTTCGGGCGGCCGGCCGCGAGCAGGGGTAGCTGCGGGCAGCGGGCCCCTTCCCGCGGGGGGATCATCGTCGTGGTCGTCGAGGCAGCCAGGCACAGCCAGGCCGCTCGGCGGCACGGCGTGGTGCGTGCGCGGCGTGATGCTGCCTCTCGGTCCTCTCGCTCGGCGGTGACTCGGTGACGCGACGACCACGGGTGCTACAGCGTCGCGACGTCGCGACACTCCGCGGCGCGGCGTGGGCACGTGCTGATAAACCACCAGGACGGGGAAGGCCCGCCCGCGGCCGCAGTGCATTCTCACACGGGGCGAGCACGCTGCCACCGCCCCGCCGCTCCGCCAAAAGAGTGCGAGAGAGACAGAGCGACGACAGTAGTGAGCGGAATCCGCGCAAGAACGAGCAGCGGCGACAGATCGCCCACGCCCGCGCTGACCAACCCCGGCGGTTCAGACATCTTCCATTTCATTTCGAGCGTTCGGGGCTCGCCAAGCCTCTCCAGCCTGCGAAGGGGCTCAAAGGGAAGAGACTCTGGAGGGGGGCGAAGGCTATGAACTGGCTTCGTACAGTAACACCTTGCGCGCGGCGGAGCGGCGGGGAAGTCTTTGTGTTTCGACGGGGGTGGAGGGGGTTGAAAGTCTACCCCTTCCCCCCGCCAGGCCAGCCCCACTGGCCGTGGCCGCGTGGCGCAGTCGGCTTGGCGTCGGGTCGGGTCGGCGTCCAGGCCTCCCCTCCTTCTTGGAGACCCTCCCTTGCCGGAGAGCGTCCCGACCCGCCACAACGCCACGCCGCCACGCCACGACCCACCTGTTGATGCACACACAGGGGGTCGCGGGGACGCCGGGACGCTCGCCGCGTGCAGAGCAGCGCCGTGCAGTGCGCACGGACGCACACCTCGTACCGGTGGGAGGGGACAAGTTGGTCCTTGTTCTCCATGTCCTTGTTCCCTTGTTTCAAACGAGGAAACGAGAAGCGCCCACCCCCTCTTAAATTTTAGCAGGGTAAAGCTTGCAGCTAGCATGACATGCCACCTGTGCTTAGGCAACCCACCGCTTGGCCAATGCATACAATGTGCTTAAATCTATAACACAGCAATAGCGGGTGACGAGCTGATAAATAAAGTAACTAAATTAACAATGAGCAATAATAATGTTAACTCTGGCTTTTGATCTGTTCTAGAGAGGACAAGACGGCAAAGAATACCATCAATCAAGTGACAACAACATTTGATTCTCAACAGGTGCGATAGTTCCCATAAAGAACAATTGCACCTGTCGCAATCCCTGAGCTCAATTTATTTTAATCAAACATTGGTGAATAACTATTACTACATTAGTCTGAAGGCAGACTCTACAACCGAAAACAGCAAACCCTCCCCACAGCAATGCTGCCACCCCATAACACTAGCCAGCCGCCCCAGAAGCCACAACCACCTGTTGCATGCGGAGTCCAGAGAGCTGCCTGCTGGAGGCGCACACCACACCACACCCCAAGTGGATACTCACTTTAGAAAGTACACCTGGCCCTCGTGGGTGTGGGCCTTCTCCCAGCCCGGGGGTAGCGGGCCCAGCTCGTCCACCTGCGTCATGTCGTAACTGCGCGCCTTGAGGTGCTGGATGGGCTGCACGGGGCTGGCGGGGCCCTGGCCGGCCTGGCCCGCGCCGCCGGCCTGCTGGCCGCTGGGGCCGTGGGCGTAGGTCTGCTGCAGGGAGGCTGGCGAACTGTGGTGTCGGGGGTGGCTGATGGGCAGCCCAGTGGGTAGCCCCGTGGGCAGCCCGGGCGAGACGCTGGCCACAGGCGCCACAGCCACGGGCGCTACGCCGGCACCCAGGGCGTTGCCGAACGCGGAATCGCCTGAATTTTCGCGGCTGTGGGACACGGACGGAGACTTGGAGCCCGTGGACGGAGGGTTGAAGAACGAGTTGGGAAGCTTGCGCATTATCATGGGTTTCTGCAAGGGTCTCTTCGAGTCGGGCTTGAGCACTATTTCGAAAAGGGCTTGTAGCTCACTCTCGGTGTCCCTCTCCACCACCACCTCTGGCTGTTTTTCACCACTGACACGATTTAACGACATCTTGATCACAATGGACGGCCCAGAACGGAACGGGAGAACAAAACGGCAAACTAAAAATAAACAAACAAAATCGGGTTCCCCACCCACGACACAAAGGTCCCACCCCTGGCACGTCTCGAAACACACTGACGGACGACAACGATGGCTGCCCCCTGCCAGTGCTGCCAGCTCGGCTCGGGACGGCCGTGAACACGGCCATCTTGAAGTGCGGAAAGCAACAGACGACAAACCAGAGCTGCCACCCAATGAATGAACGGGACTACGAAAAGCGCTTCCGAGAAGTCATGAATCGTCGTTAGCATTGGCGTGCTTCTTTTTTATGGCGAACCCAACAGTTTGATGAAACTTTGCACGAGCGATGAATCACCATGAAAAGAGGCAAACAACAATCTTTTCCTTTTCCGCATGTTTTCGTGCGGACACACCCAAAATGGTGAACACCACACATTAAGATTGTTATTGCAGTTGCTTACGTCGGCGGCTTGTCCTGCGAATAGTGTGCATGTTGAACCGCTTCTTCTCCTCCTTCTCCTCTCTCTTCGGTCACTTTCATTTGTCAGCCTCCACGTACAACGCGCTGCAGACATGGCGATCGTATCAAACGATCTTGTTGCAAAAGCAGAAGATATTGCCGATCAGGTACGTTTTCTCTCGCCTTCTCCCAAAATTCTCCATTTTTTCTTATCTTTGTGCACTCCTATTTGTTGGTGAGATTATCCAGTACGGTCAAAGATATGGCTATAACACATCTGTGTCACCTCACAGCTGTCTCTCAATCTAAGTAGGTTAATGAAGGTTTTGAGAGAAAGTTTTGTCCAAATTCAAAATTCGTTTTGTACCCCGATACATTTGCCCTCTTGAAATGTAATTCTGTGTTTTTCTTGATTGTGGGATCCTCCTTCATGCTGTAATGATGACCTACTGTCACTGGTTGTATTGCTTGTCATCATATTGCGGAAAGTTTTGTTTACTCAATCTACCTGAATCTCTTGATCAAACCATAGCTATATCCTGTCTATTAGCTTTTGATATGTTTTTATTCAAATGGAGTTGAATTTTCATAGTTCCCCCAGGATGCTAGACTCACACAAGCATATCATGATTCTTGGTGACTTGGCACCAAACACATCACCTTGATGTCAAACATACTCTCTAGATCGTTTCTTGTTTTAATCTCCTAAGAATGAGATTATTCACTTTTCTACCCACACTCGAGTGTCACTTTGTTTTCATAACTTACTTTCTAATTTGTTTCTGTAAGGTGAAAGTATGGTCTTAATGCAAACATCAATAAAGTTTGTGTTTTGTGTTACAGATTTTGCGGTATAAAAGTGTATTACCCACTATAGCACGATTGTGCTTGATCTCCACATTCCTTGAAGATGGATTACGCATGTGGTTCCAATGGAACGAGCAAAAAGACTACATGGATATGTCATGGGGCTGCGGGAAGTTCTTGGCAACAGTATTCGTACTCATTAACCTTGTTGGACAGATTGGAGGCTGTGTGATGGTTTTGGGCCGTTTCAAGGTGCCCATCGCCTGCGGAATCCTGTTTTTCATCGTTATTCTCCAGGTACATAGAATTTGAACAGAGCACCTAGTCTTTACTGAAGTGTTACAACCGTTACAACTGATTTTCTGGCTGCCTTTTTGTTTTGCAGACATTTGCGTACAGCATTTTGTGGGATCTTCAGTTCTCATTCCGCAGCTTGGCACTCATAGGAGCCTTGTTGTTAGTTCTTGCTGAAAGCAGAGTGGAATCAAGGAGTTTATTTGCAGGAGTTCCATCACTTGGTAAGTGTCACATAGAATGATCAATAATTTTTCTTTTAATTGGTTGTTATTTATACCAATTTTAATTGTCTGTTCCAGGTGACAATAAGCCCAAGAACTACTTGCAGCTGACTGGTCGTGTTCTTATAGCATTCATGTTTATTACTCTGCTGCGTTTTGAGGTTTCTTTCCTACAGGTTTGTTATTTTTCAATATTTCTAATTTCAACCGCATGTGCCAGTTATATTTTCCTTTTCTTTTCTTTTTTGTCTGACCAATCGATTCTTTTTTTCTATTCAGATCGTCCAGGATATTCTTGGATCAGTCTTAATGGTCCTTGTAACTATTGGCTACAAGACTAAGCTTTCTGCCCTTATCCTTGTCATGCTGTTGTCTCTGCTCAATATTTATCACAATGCTTGGTGGACAATTCCCACCCACAGACCGCTGAGAGACTTCTTGAAATATGATTTCTTCCAGGTAAGGGACCCTATTTGGATTGGTTGTGTTCCTTTTAAACATTATCTTGATTTTTTTTATCTTGGTTATTATTGACTGGGTTATCTTTAATTGCAGACCCTATCTGTGATTGGTGGTCTTCTCATGATCGTATCTCTGGGACCTGGTGGAGTATCAATGGATGAGCACAAAAAGAAGTGGTGACCGCCTTAATATCTCATCTTAAATCATATTGTTCTGAAGATGTGGTTTTGAAACAGAACTGAATTTCCTTTTAATTAAAGTTTAGAGAATGTTGTCAGACAGAAGCATAATGCAAAATTGCCTGGAAAAATACTGTCTCCCTTTGTTACAGCTTTCTGTTGTTTGTGATAAACTGACTTAAGTTGAATGTTTTCCTCTTTGAGTACATGGGGATCGAATGACTGTGACATAATGTGTGCAATTGTGTATATAATGACTGGACCATTGATAAAATTGTATATTTGAGGTACATTGAAGAACTATCATGTTAGTACCTGGTTGTCGGCTCTCTGAAAATTTCTATCCTAGTTCTGTATTTAATCAATTCTGAAATTTGTGAGAGTCATTAAACTGACACACATTAATATACTAATTTTAAAAAATTGGTATGCAGTGACCAGGTGAAGAAAGTCACTCCTAGGGGTTAACCACTTAAATGTTGAATGGGAAGGACAGGTGTAAGTAGTAAATTTTCTTACAATTTGTTTTATGCCATCTGAGAAAGCACCTATTGTTGCTCTATATTTTTATTTTCTGTTAAATTTAAGATTAAGAGCTAGGTTTGAAACAACATTCTTTGTTGGCCTTGTGTTGCTTGTATGTGTTGTCCAATGTAAATTTTACTTCAAAAGTGTTAGCAAAATGTTACTGAAACAAAGCACCTAATAAGTACAGTGTAGTTTTGGATTACTCGATCATTCCTGCCATCACTATTAAGACATTTGCTAACTCTTTGTATCTAAAAGCACACATCAAGCTTTCTGTATTTATTGTTGTTATCAAAGGGTTTTTCCTTTTCTTTTTAATTTTCTGTTTTTATGTGATGACAAAACATCAAATGTAAGTGAAGATTTGAAGGGTATTTGATTTGAAATTATAAGTGGGTATCTTTTGCCACTATCCCCATTCTCTTCCTTTGAGGCTTTTATTTTTCCAAAGCCACTTTGCTCTATCCTATGTACTTCGATCTTTAAAAGAAAAAATATATATCCTTGTATAGTGTTGTTTTCACTCAATTTATGTCTATGGTTACCTGAAGGTTAGTCATTTGTATGCCTCAGACTACAATGTTGTTCAAGACTGACTGAACTGTATCGGAAGTAAATGGATAAATAAAACATAAGTTTCCCCCATTTGTCCTAAGATATTTGTGGTAAAATGTGTTTCCAGTTCTCCCCTTGGAGTGGTCTTGGTTGCAAAATTTATGTTCACTCTGTTAAATTGTCCTTTGTTAAACTTCTTCAGGGCTTTTTTCATAATTTTTTTTTCAAAACTTTGCTCATGTCAAGATGTTTTTTGCATACTGTTTCCATCGTGTATGCAGGTAGTTGGATAACTTTGTCAGATTGCAGCAAAAAGTTTTTGGGGAAAGTAGTATATATTATTACTGGCATGGCATATGGCGTGTCTATGAACATTTTCGGTGTTGCAAAGATTCCATATTTTGCTAGTGTGAGTTGTGTGAGACTATTTTCTTATCCCTGCTGCTTTCCTGAAATCCAACATCATGGTTGTGATAAACGAATTAAAAACATTGATAAAACTCATGGTCCGTTTTCATTTCCACCCTCGCTCGTCTTGCCTGCACTCGAACGATCAACTTGATGGGAAGGCCCACCACACTACAAGTGCGTGCGTGTCAAGAGCAGGTGCACGTCACGCGTAAAGGTCGCCGCGTCGCGCCGCGTCGCCGCCTTTTGCGTCTTTAAAAGCGGCGCGCGACGCGCCGTGCACTTGTTCGCGTCGTCTGCTACCTGTTTGTGGATTTTGTTTGTGATCTGGGTTCCTTCGTTCATATGTTCCTTTTCATTTACAGCACATCCCCTTGTAGCGGGCATGTTCGGGGGAGCGGGATGATATTCGTTACCTGACGAGTTTACGGAAACCAATTAAAGAAAGACGAAAAGTGTCAAATGGAACTGACGGAACTGAAGGAAGAAGAAGCTTATTCGCACGACGGGTTCGCGGGTGCTGTCCTGTCGCCGTTCAATCCCTAAATACGCTCCTCTTTATTCGTTTCCCCGAGGTGCTGTGGCTTTGCTTCCGTCTGAGGAGCAGTCATCACAAGGACCGCTCGCGCACCGTGCCTTTCACACCGACACCGACTTGGACTCATCCCTCCAACTACCCCACCCCCGACTTCCCTCTTCCCTCCCCTCCCCTCGAAGCAGACGAATGCGAAGACCCAAAAGTGCATTCTGCTGCAGGCTGCAGTGTTGTGTGGCTTTCTGTGCTGGCTGCTGGCGCTACACTGCAGCTTTTCCTCGATACTTTTCTAGAAACGCGGAGACTGTCGCTTTGAGGTGAGGAGGGAACGTGAGTGCAAACCAGGAAGCCTGTATTTATCTTCTTGTCACTTGTCACAGTTGTTGTCATTACACCTAAGCTCCAAAACATTGTGCACCTGTGGAGAAAAGGTACCTAGTGCTGTTCTCTTATTGAGAATTCTGAGAGTAAATCACTTTTACATTATTATTGAGTGAGTTGACTCTTCTATTTTGAGAAAAATGTTAGGGTTAGAATCCTATGCACACTGCTGACATAGTAATGTTTTCATTTCCTCCTGTGCTGTGTTTTACTTTCAGGTTGTAAACCATGGAAGAAGAGCAAGAGGATGGACAACGAGGTGCAGATCTATTGAGCTTAATGCTCACTCTTTCCGAGCGCGCTGGAAACATTGCTCGTCGGATAAGAAAAGATGACCATCTCATAGAGCTCCTCACGCAACAGAAGGGTAGTGATGAGGCCAATCCTCGCTTTGTTCAAGATTTCAAAACATTGGCAGATGTTCTAATTCAAGAAACTGTGCGCCATTATATTGGAGAAAAGGTCAATAATTTGTTAAAAGTATTATAACCTCAAAGAGAAAAATGGTCAAGCAATAATTTTCTCAATTTTTTTTTTCAGTTTCCTGAGCTTGCTCCGCACATAAAAGGCGAAGAAAGTGCTAAATTCAGTAACACTCAGGGCGAAAGTGTCACTGTTGAAGTGAAGGAGACTCAAGCCGAAACTGCAGAAATGCTGTGCAAGGTAAATGATCTTTTCTTTAGCATATAGAATATTTTCTAATAAATCAAACTTAACTCTCGCAGTTTTCACTGTCACTTTTGTATGTGTTGTTTGTGTCCAGGTTCTGGATGGTGATGTGTCGGCGTCTGAAAAACTTGCAGAGGAAGTTCATAAAATTGTCCACATTGATGATGTAAATGTTGGAACAGCTCCCATTCCATCCCATTTGCCCTTGCCTGTTCAAAATATCGGAATTTGGATTGATCCTATTGGTAAAGACACTTGAATAAATGGTCAATATTTTACAAAGTCCTTATTCTAATGACACCTTCCCTACAGATTCTACAGCAGAGTACATTGCAGGCGATGGGCCAGATGGATCAGATGGACCTTCCTCTGACCCAGAATTAATGGTGAAAAGTGGCCTCCATTGTGTTACCGTGCTAATTGGTGCTTACGACCGTAGTTCGGGTATTCCACTCATGGGAGTAATAAACCAACCATTTTATATGAAGGAGAACAATCAGTAAGGTCTTCAGATTTGATTTGATTATTTCTTCATCAATTATATTTCCATTATCTTATTTTTGTATTTCATGGCCTTCTCTAGGTATGTGGGAAGAGCTTGTTGGGGTGTAAAGTGGGGCAACACTCGTGCATTTTCTTCTCCCATTTGTGACTGTGCCTCTCGATCGAAGGTATACTTATTTTTCAAAGGTTGATTTGATTCCTTGTTTTGAAACCTTTTCAAGACATTTATATTTTGTTCCAGATCATTGCAATCAGTGGCAGTGAAAGCGCGGATGCAAAGGCCAGTTTGGAAGAGGCAGGGTATGAACTCTGCCAAGCAGCAGGTGCTGGATACAAGTTGTTGTGTGTTATTTTGGGAATAGCACAGGCATACATTCTAACTCGTGACTCAACTTTTAAGTGGGACACATGTGCTCCTCATGCTATTCTTAGAGCACAGGGTGGGGATATATTAGTTCGCAAAGGTCTTGGAAGTACTAATGAATGTGTAAAATATACCTCTCCTGATTTTGATGAAGGAGTCCCTGACCTGATGGCTCAGTACTGTAATAGAGGAGGTATTGTTGCATATCGTAGTGTAAATACCTTACATAGCATAACAAGTGCTCTTTCACCTAGTTGAGCTAGGGCCACTTTTTTTTGCCATTGCATTCTTTGACATGGCCATACTTGTCTTAAATGAAATGTTACCATATTTTATGTTAATATGTTAATTTGTTACATCAGTGATAACTTTTGCCCATGGAATGAGGATATAGGAATTTCCTATTTATTTTATTTAGAGAGTTCTAATTGCTCTGAATGTTGAGTTGTTCTAAAGTACTTTAAACCTGGTAGTCTCACTTTAGAATTATAGTCTTTCATTAGAATTTTAAAGAACTATCAAATCATGTGTACAGCAAATGTTTTAATTTTAGACAAATGAAATAATCTTGTTGCTGAATCTCTGTTACTATTTGTTTTTTAAATGTTCAACATTCCACTCACATTGCCTCTATATTTGTTTTATTTTTAAATCATGATGGGTATTTTGTGACTTGTTATCTTTCATTCTTCATAAAAGTCTTTTAACTTGTCTTTACAAAAGAGCCGTCCGTTGGTCTCTGATCTTTAGGAGTGGTGGGCGTTTTTCTTCTCTGATGGGGCCCTGAGAAATCCCATTCTTGCTAGGTGCCTTCCCAGGAAAGAGATTTAAATTTCTACTTTAAAATGAACCCTTTTAAGTTGGGACAAGAGATTATAATTTACTGCTCAACAACGATCACTGAAGAAAGTCTCAAAGGGAACAATGAATTATAAGGTGACTCCTAACTCTATTGTTACTCTAAATGTGCATTAAACTGAAATTTCCGAACCAGTCTTCCCTTTGTCTCTCTCTTTCACCACCCCCTAGACTATACAATCTACACTACCAAAAATTTTATTTTCATTGAATCACATTAAAATTTCTTTGAGAATGGTAAGGTGGGAACCACTGGGAGCTAAAGGCATGGCAGAGAAGTCGGTAGTGGTAAGGAGGGGGCCATGCGGGCAGGCGGGCAGGGAGTGGAGCCCCTGTCTCGTTTTGCAGTGCAGGCGGGCATGTGTCGGGCCCTTAATGGTAATGGTAATGAGAGACCGTGGGTAGGCAAGCCCGGTGAACGCCGACGTGCGGCGCGAAGCCAGTCTCCGCTCAGCAGGCGCTCTTCCTCGCCCCTCACTGGACAGGACAGGCCGGCTCAGCTAGCGATTGGCGGGTATGTCGGGTCGGGACTCGGGATCGGCGGAAAACACGACACAAAAATGATTTGCAGGCTGCGTTTGTATTGGAGCCCAAGTAAAAGTACATCATACAAGGAGATCAAGTTGACGTCGGCGGCGAGGTCGGCGAGGTCCTCTCCGCGGGCCGCGGGGTGGCGGCCTCGGTGGTGGTGGTAGCTCGCTGAGACTGTCGATACTTTCACGCTGCCGAGTCGGCAGGGTAGAGTCGACTACGCGTCGCCTGGAGGCAGAACGAGCAAGGAAGATTCAGTTGTGGCCAATGGAAAGCAGAGCCCTGCTAATGCTGAGTGTCATCTGCAAGGGACGAAAGTGGAACTGCGCTGACGTCGAGAGGAGGGCGCGAATCTGAAGGCAACGGACGAGAGCGAGGCGACTTACCTACGATGACGAGGAGCTGCTGGAGGACGAGCCAGAGGCGGAGCCAGAGCCAGACGAGCCAGCGCCGGGGGCGCCGGGGATGCTGGGCACGCCGGGGATGGTGGGGACGTTGGGGACGTTCGGGACGGAGGGGATGAAGTTGCTGCCGGGGAAGTTGGGGAGGCCGTTGCCGCCGCTGCTGCCGCTGCTGCCACTGCTGCTGCCGGACGCGCCGGACGAGCCGCCGGAGGAGCCGCCGGGGAAGCCGGGGATCTCGGGGATGTCGGGGAAGTTGGACCCGCCGGGGATCTTGTCTGCACAGTCGGGGGCGGGGGTGGCCGTTATTCGCAGCCGACAGTGCCACTATTCACACTACACTGGGGATCGGCCCGTTGTACTCACCTTTGCACTTCGAGGGGTTGGTGATGCACTCAGAGTAATCCTGGGCGATGGCAGCTGCCAGCAAGCAGGCGACGACGACGAGGACCTTCATGTTGACGAGGAGGGGGAGTCGAGAGGGCTGCCGGCTCGAACCTGGAGGACAGAACGCGGCCGGTGAGTCTCCGAGTCCAGCAGCGCGTTCTCCTTGTGGGAGAGCAGCACTGGGCCTCGGGGGCTCCACCGGGCTGCGAACACTACTCACTAGGAAGCGCTGGTTGGAGCGAGTGTGCCGAACTAGGAGCCACCGGTCCTTTTTATTCCAACGGCCCTGTTGGAGCTAGTGTGTGTGCGTGTGTGTGTGTGTGTGCATGTAAGTTTGGGGCCCTGCGACGCCACGGCCGAAACTAGCCCCACCAGTAATTATGATAAGCCGCGAAGGGCCCCTCCGCCACGCCACGCCGTGCCATCCAGGTCGTTTCGGCTGGGCTAGGCGGGCTAGGCCACTCCGTGACCGTGGGCCCTTCCGAGGCGGGGCCCCTGTCACCGAAACCCGTTTCGTTTGTGTGTGTATGCGTGTGTGTGTGTGTGTGTGTTTGTGTGTGTGCGTCGTCCGCAGCAAAGCTAGCAAAGCCAGCCAGCAAATCGAAGGGCCAGGGCCAGGGCCCCGAACCAGGCGGGGCGGGCCGAGGCCAATGACCAGCGTCATCTCGCGGACCCGACCCACCAGTGGCGACGCTAGTGTGGAATAATCTACTCTGGAAAATAACGCAAAAAGAAAGACGCTACAGCTAGATGGAGCGCCGATGTACGTATGCGCTAAGCTTGGCTGGCACCATGCGCGAGCGCCGCTCAACCAGAGCGCCCTGATAGCTCCAAATCTATTTCAAGACAACCCGAGGAGCCTCATGGAGATTTCCTTTCCAGCCTGCTTCCTTGGGGCCGTGTTTAGTGAAGGCAGTTCCTTGTCGCTCGCCTTTCGTTGGAGGAAGCGGCAAGGAGGAAGGGGCGGTAACCACCAGGTGGTTGCGAGGTGGTTTACGAGCTAGGTACGGAATAAGTAGTTTATTCATTCGGAACAATGTACACAGTATCTACGGGCAACCTTTCATGCGAGTCGTGTGTTTCGGACGGGACGTGGGACAGTCCATTGATTCCCTCGGATTGGCGCCTTGTTCAGACCACGATGGTTCAGACCACGATGGTTCAGATCACGATGGCTCAGACCAAGCCGTGCTGCGCGGCCTCTAGTATGGGGGAGGCTTGGGCTTGAACGAAGAGAAGATCTCGATACCTGCAAAACGGCAACCGTATCAAGAATGGCAGTGGGGAGCAGTCTTGGATGTAAAACGAGCGGCACCGCGGCACCCAGCTCTCGACTTACACTTCTTGTGGCTGCACGACTCCTTGCACAGCTTGTAGGCCTTGATGTAGGCGTCGAAGTACTCAGAGGGTTTGATGGTCGGGGCCCCGATGGGGATGTTGACGGGGTACCCACCGCTACCAGACCCAGATCCCGAGCCGGAGCCAGATCCAGATCCAGAGCCAGATCCAGAGCCGGATCCAGACCCAGACCCACTGCCGGAACCACCGTCGATGCCGCCGGAGCCGCCGCCGATGCCGGAACCACCGCCGATGCCAGAGCCTCCGGAACCACCGCCAATGCCGGAACCACCGCCGATGCCAGAGCCTCCGGAACCACCGCCAATGCCGGAACCGCCGCCGATGCCAGAGCCTCCGGAACCACCGCCAATGCCGGAACCGCCGCCGATGCCAGAGCCTCCGGAACCACCGCCAATGCCGGAACCGCCACCGATGCCAGAGCCTCCGGAACCGCCGCCGATACCAGAGCCTCCGGAACCACCGCCGATGCTACCGCCACCGCCGCCGCCGATGATGCCCCCGCTGATGCTTCCGCCAATGCCGCCGAAGCCAGGGATGCGATGGCTGAAGCTGTGTCCATGGCCGCCGCCGCTACCGCCACCGATGCTTCCACCGCCGATACCGCCAGAACCGGAGCCGGAGCCAGAGCCGGAGCCAGAGCCGCCGCCTGAGCCCGAGCCGGAACCCGAGCCGGAACCGGAACCTGAGCCGGGGGCGGGCTCTGGCTCGTAGCCGTCGTCGCGCTGGGGCTTAAGAGCGGCCACCAGCACCAGGAGGGACGCGGCCACGACGAGGACCTTCATGTCGGCTGCAACGAGAACCAACCGGGCAAACTGCGGCTCTGTCTCTCTCGCACCCAGGGGGCGTCCCGTATGCGGGAGCGAGAGAGCCAGAGCGCAGACGACACTTTTCGGCATCCAGGCGCTGGTTGCCTACCTGTTACCAGGGTGACGAATGGTCTGGAACAAGAGGAACCTGGGGGAGCAGGGCGGAGCAGGGCGACTGTCGACTCTCGAAAGTGTCGCCGCGGCTTTTAAAGCCACCTCGCGACAAAATTCGAGGCACCACGCGCATGTCCAACATGACGTGGCGATAATTTTTTTGGGGCTGATAATGTGTATGAGCCGTGTATGTTTTTTTTTTGTCTTTTCTTTGCTTTGTCTTGCCAAAAGTGGCCGCTTCGGGCGAGCAGGCGGGGCGCGACGCGGGCCTCCTTCACGTCCTTCACCGGCCGAGTCCGATACTGTCCCGGTGAAACTGTCGTTGCAACCGTCGCGCAGGCCAGGCTACGCCAGGCTGGGGCGTCCGACAGCCCCAGTGGAGGAGGTCAGGGGTCAGTGCGTGGTGTGGGGGGTAAAGACGCACCAGCACCAGCCTCCAGCCAGCCTCCAGCAGGCCACCCCGCGCCCCTTGCCCACCCTCCTGGAACACTTCTCGGTGACCGAACGAGCGAACAGTGCCGGAGCTCCCTTCACGCAAGCAGCTGAGTCTAGGAAGTGAACCTGGCGCTAGCGCGGACCAGAGACCGCTTTGTCAAGAAGCCGGCCTCGAAACTCGAGCTGCCCTGGAAATGGAAAAGTATCCCCCACGGTTTTCTTACTCTTTTCAACGCGACTTACACGCTGCGAAATCTGTCACTACACGTGCAGCGCAGTGTGGTGGCATCTCCGAAACGGCCCGGCGGATGCGGAACTCCCGAGGCTGGACTCTCAACGTTCGCGCCCCGCGGCGGCGTGCGAGTGCGCGGCGCGCGCAGGCCCGGCGGCCCGTTGCAGGCGGTACAGGGGAGGGGTATTTTTGAGCGCAATAAACGGGTATTTTATGGTCGAACAGCCCGGGCAGGTTATTGGAAGCGGCAGATATGTCGGCTGCAGTCCGAAGCGGGGCGCGGGGCGCGGGGCGGAGGGAATGACCCCCCGACTGCCTTCCCGCCAGGCCGCCTGGCCGCCAGCCCGCCAGCGCAGCGCGCCGCAGCGGGACAGGCTGGAAAATTTGTGGACGAATAAACTCGCCGACTGGAAGGTTTTGCCGGTTCGCCCGTAATTTGGCTGAGTGCATGTGTGTCCACTGCCACTGGCGTAGAACTCGGCACCGAAACGGCGGTCGTGAGTCAAAGTTTAGAATATGGTGGATTTGCTTTTATTTATTTATTTTCTTTCAGTTTGCTCGGCGGAGTTGTTGCCGGCAGTGTACCTGAAGATCAAGGTCCCCACGTTGTCCCTCGCCGCTCCTGGGCTAGGCCCTGGGCTAGGCCGCCAAGCCGCTACGCCGCTAGGCCCTTGGCCATCTCCTCCAGACCGGACTTGGGACACGGGTAACGGGCGCGGCCGAGGGGAGGGGAGGGGAGGTACCGGCTGGCACCTTGACAGTATCGGCCGGCGACGCGGGGCGGGGCCCGGCCGCGGGGCCAAGCCGCGGGGCCAAGCGAGGCTCGCGACGCTCCTTGACAGCGGCAGGCCGATTCCGGATCGCAGCGCTTCGTCGCTCTGTCTCCCTCGCACTCACAGGGCGACGGCGCGACGGAAAGCACTGTTCGGACCTCGGTTCGGACCCAGCCCGCAGGACGGCCGCAATCAGGTCCGGAAATGCGCGAGCGGCTTTAGCGTGCGGCCTGCCCGCCGCCCCCACCACCACCCGCGCCTCCGGCTGACAGACACAGACAGCGCGACAGGCAGCCCGCCTTTCTTACACAGTAAGCAGTTCCGAGTTAGCCGAGTCGGCCCGGACTACGCCGCGCGTAGCGCGTAGGCCCGCACCTTGGCCCCGCCTTGGCCCCGCCTTGGCCCGCGCCCACGCGGCGGGGCGGGGCGGGGCGGGGCGGGGCGGGGCGGGGCGGCCGGGCGCTGTGTTTGTGCGAAGCTCGCGCAACCACTTAGTCCGCACGGCACTGCCAGCCTCTGCCAGCCTCTGCCTGCAGCGCGTCCTCCCATCCAGCACTCCAGCCTCCAGCACTCCAGGCGTGGGTCCTTGCCGGAGCATTACCGGAGATTCTCCGCGGAGCGTTTCACAGTAATTTCTGTAATCCTTGCTGAAGCTGGGTCGGAGCTGAAGCCTTCCCGCCGCAGTCGCGGCGCGGCGGGAGACTTCCCCCAAGTTGGGCGCGCTTCCTGGAATGAATTTTAAAGCGCGTGTTTAGTTTATTTTGTTTTTGCACTCGTAGCGTCGCTGCAGCCTCGGCCAAGGCCTCGGCAGCCTCGGTGCGACATGTCCTTCGTGGTGCTGCTGCTCGTGGTGCACGCCATGTCCGTGGAGTCGGTTCCCGCGCCCCAGACCCCCCCGCCCCCGAGGGCCCCGCCGCCGGCGTCGCCCACACAACCCCCGGCGGGGCCAGCAGGCACGGACGCCAGGGTCGCCGCCAACAGCCGCAGCCCCCCGGGAGAGGGCGGGGAGGGGGAGGGCGCGCTAACGCCGGACTTGAGCGGCCTCGGCAACTGGGGCCCACTGGTCAGCGAAGAGTTCCGCAAATGCCTGGAGAAGCCCGCCGAGTGTAAGTCTGCGTCCGGTCCGGGTCACTCACACTCGTCCGAGTCCGTGACCGATTTGTGGCACGTACCAACGAGACCAAAACGCCTTTTGTGGTGTGCTTCCAGGCGGCATCATCATCGAGTGACCGACCACGGCATCGTCGCCTCGATCGTCGCCCACTCAGCCCGAAGCACGTCACTACGAACACGGCACCACGTCAGCGCTTTCTAAAATACACCGTGTCTTGTTTCTGTTACTGACATCCGACTGAGAGAGAAATAACGTAAAATACCTGTCTAAAAATTATATTTTATTTTTATAAAATTATTCGTGTTGAAATCATGAACTAGAAGCCCTCTGAACCGCTATCGCTCCTTTCCAGTGGTGCTATGCAGCCGTTTTCCCTGGTTTTTAGTCCTCAAAGCTCTTGGCGTGTTCCACGGATTTAAATGCGACTCTCTCTCTCTCCCGGTGCAGCAGCGACCGGGGCGTGAATCGCAGCGCCGACTCAACGGGGCGTGGCGTGGCGCTGCAGAGCCGCGGCTGCGAGTTGCACCCTTTGGCTCCAAAGCGCACCTGCCGGAGGACGTCAACGCCGTCGGGGGTCGCCGAGCTGGCGAAGGACGAAGTGGACGAAGTGGACGAAGGACCCCGCGCCGAGGACAGGCAACGTGCTCTGTCTCCCTCTTACTTCAGTCCCGTAAAGGTGCGAGAGAGACGGCTGCTGCAGTCGAGCGTCTCCGATGGCTCTTTTCTCCGCCCTGCCTCTCTCGCAACCCTTCGGGACGCTCCATGAGTGCGACCATGAGACTAGGGGTAATGGACTCGCAACGGAGCTGGCCGGAATCTCTGCTTTGCTAATTGTAGTTCACTATTTCTCCGACTAAATATGCGAGTTTTGAGATGGCTCGGGCATTTTTGGAAAGAAGACATCTTAGAGTATGCCCTTAATTCAAAAAAGTTTCAATTTTCCCACCAGGGCTCGAACAGGAACAGCTTAACCGTTGCGCTTCGACATATATCAAGGTGCACCACTTGTCCCATCACTTTTGCGGCATCGGGAAGCTTCTAGCGCAAGTTGAAGATGCGTCCCCCCTGCGTCGCCCCTGGCACCATGGCCGTCGCCCTGCGCATTTGAGTAGCGCAACGGTTAAGACGTTCCTGTTCGAGCCCTGGTGGGAAAATTGAAACTTTTTTGAATTTAGGGCATACTCTAAGATGTCTTCTTTCCAAAAATGCCCGAGCCATCTCAAAAATCGCATATTTAGTCGATGAAATAGTGAACTACAATTAGCAAGGCAGAGATTCCGGCCAGCTCCGTTGCGAGTCCACTACCCCTAGTCTCATGGTGCGACAGAGACAGAGCAATGGAAGGACTTTTCGGAATGAGGCCGCTGGGTGGTGCGGGGCCTGGGCCTGGGCCGTCGCGACGGGACGCCGCCGCTGCAGCGGTGCGGCCCTGTCGGCCCTGCCTGGCTGAGGTGGCGGCAGCGAGCGGCAGCTCATTGGCGGTGCGCGGGAATGAGATTGAAAATGGAAACACGGACGGTTGGGGCTTTCAGATGAAAGATGCAAGCGGATTCAGGCGGACCAAGAGAATTAAAAACACCCCCTCCGCCCCCGCCACGCCCCCGCAATGCGAGATACTGGAGGGACGCGGGCAGTGCCGCGCACTGCGCACTCCAGAGACAGAGACAGACTCCCAAACTAACTGACAAAGAAAACACGACGGCATCCATCACCTTTTCAGTGCAGGCATGAAAAATTCATCCGGCGGCTGATGGCGTCCGTCGTCGCCGCGCCCTTCCCCCTTCCGACGTCCGGCGGCGCTGGGCGCTGCTGCGACGCCAGCGGCTCTCTGTCCCGTCTCTCTCGCACCCCCTGCGGGGCGTGCGGCGCGCGCCTCGAGTGCGAGCGAGACGGAGCGAGTCTCAGCCTTCGGGAGGCTTCGGACCAACTTGGCTCGCGTCGCTTTGACGCCTTGGCTAGTGCGACTGGGGCGACGCGACGCGACGCGGTGCGGCGTGGTTCCGGCCAAGGCTGCCCAGGATGCCCTGCCCGCCCAAGGCCAACAACGGGGATAACAAGAAAGGCGAGGAGGAACGGCGACGCGGCCAGCCTTTGCGAGGGCGAGCGCCAACATAAACAAAAGTCAAGAACAAAAATAAACTAAGCCCGCTGGCTACGAATATAATCAATTTATCGCATTGGTACGTGCTAAAGTACTCGAAAACTTTTTGTCGGGCCGACGTCGGTGGGGAGAGACAGGAAGTGGCCAACAAGTGGCTCACGAGCGGTGAGGGTCGCGGTGCGGAGACGAGACGGGCGCTGTCGCGAGCACTGCTAGTGAAGACGGGTGGTTGTGTTTGTGCTTCGGGAATCGGAAATTCAGATGATCCTCCTCTGCCTTGGCGGGGCAGGCAGGGCAGGCAGGCAGCCGTGTGATTCGGAGGGCTGGTTTGGTCTCTCTCACACCCTCAGGAGAGGCCATGAGAGTGAGAGAGACCGCGCGACGACAGCACTGTCTGGAATCAGCCTGCATGGCCCAACGAGTTGTTCGTCCTTCCTCGCGGTCTTCGAGGTCTTGGACTCGCGAGGCTGCCCATCACCGTGATGGATGCACTGTGATAAGGGCCACTTCCGGTGTCGCGGCCACGGCCCAGCCACGGCCCAGCCACGGCCCCGGCTCATTTGCAAAGGCGCGAAAAAACACTGCGAAACGTCGCGACTTTTTGTCCAAATTCGACGAACGCGCGGGGGAAGGCGCGACCTTGCGCGCTGTGTGACGGCGACGATCATCCCCAGCGACATCAAGTACGAGTTCGACGCGACATCCCTCACCGGTTTTTACGGCCTCGCAGTGGGAAGGCCAGACGCGACAGCGCAGCGAGACGGCGAGGCAGCGAAGATGGATTTACTCCATCACCTGTCAACTTTTCGTAATCAAATTCGCGCTCCAAAGTGAACATTTATGATACAGTTCCGGAGACGTCGCCTCAGGGGGTCGTGATGGACCTGCATTTGAGTAACAGTGCTTCGTGCCTACATGTCGCGCCTATACGGGAGGCCTCATGGGGTGCGCAAGAGCTGCGAGGGCACTGTTCGGAATCGGGCTGCACCCCCAGGTACGGTGGCCAGTGGGCGTAGTGGCCAGTGCCACGGCGGCGAGGGGCGAGGGCCGGCGAGGGCTGCCGTCTGCGCCGCGCAACGCCAATGTCTCCCCCAGGACGACGCCGACGACGCCGACGACGTCGACGGATAAGACGACGACACCCACGACACCCACGACACGACGGACGCGCCTCGGCTGTCTCACTCCCCCGCGTGCGCGCACGCCGTCTCAGTCCACATTGCAGTGGCGTAGCGCGGCGCGGCGCGGTGTGCTTTGCCAAATGGCCGGCGAGGGCAGTCCACTTCCTGCGTGCCGCTAGTCCCTCTTTTTTGCGTTTTTGTTTTTGATTTTTTTTTTCGCCAAAGATAGGGCACGCGCCGCACGTGGCGCCCTGCAATGCCCTGCACACGCACAGCCCTTATCTGACAATGACACCGCCTTGTGCCTCTCGGTGCGAACGCCCTGGCGGCCCTAGCGGCCCTAGCGCCTAGCCTTCCCCCCCCCCCCCCCCAGCACCCCAACCCCAAAGCCAGGACGCCAGGACGCCACGACCTCCGTTCGCGACTGCCTGCGCCTGCCTGCGTGCGAGCTGGTAATTGTGCGCGTATGTCTGTAATTCCTTTGCTTCGTCACCACACACACACACACACACACACACACACACACACACACACACACACACACACACACACACACATACCCGCGCGCACACACACGCTGCTACAGACACTGCTTGTCACCAGTGGTTCGTCATCAGGCCGCCCCTATTTTTACCGCGCGCCGTGCATTACAAGAGCCTCGTTGGCGCGGCGCTTCTTTCGCGGAGTCGAGGCGAGCAACCCCCTCCCCTCTCCGGGCCGGGTTATGTCAGAGCGGAGCACACCGGGGGTCCGGGGGCCCCCGCTTTCTGTGCTTTGCCGTCGTTGCCTACGCCTGGCGCGGGGCGGGGCGAGGCGCGGGGCGGGGGCCGCCGCCGCCTGTGAGGCGATGCTGGGCCTGCCCGCATCGCAAGCCTGTCGCGCGGCGTTGCCTATCTCGCCGTCCGCGGGCGCTCGGCGGGCTGCGCCTTCCACGGCGGGGCGGACAGCGGGCAGGCCGATGGGGCGCGGATTAAGAAGGCGCAGGGAGCGGTGCGGGCGGCGGGCGGCGGGCCAGGCCGGCATTGCTTACGTGACTTGGCGGTAAAGGGGACGCGACGCGGCTGAGATCTGCGCTCGGAAGCACGGGGCTGACCCCTGCCAAATAATTTTCGCGTCCGCCGCGGCAACCACTCGGAGGGCGTCCACCTTGCACGGCCGCGCCGTCTGACGGCTGCTTCCGAAGACAGCTTCCACCGGCCTGTCTCTCTCGTACCCAGGCGGCACCTCCACGTGTGTGACAGAGACAGACAGGGCGCGACGAAAGTCGTCCTCGGAATCAGCCCCCCGGCCACCAAGTACGCTGCCCGGGGGGCGGCACTAAACCCCGAGCCGTGGTGGATTTTGGTCCTTTTATTGCTCGGCCGAATTAATGCTCCATACTGGGGCCAACGGCCCCGGGCGGGCCGGCACGGCACAGCCATGCACGAGCCTCATGCACCATTCACCGCGCTGTGGAGGCACCTAGGGCCCCCAGGGCCCCCAGGGGCGCGGCTGGAATCGGAAAAAGCAGTGTCTCTCTCGTAGCGGATGGAAACAAACTGGCTCATTCCAAGGCCCGAATGGGGGCTCCCAATCTTGATTTCAAAGTGGCAGTGGAGTGGCCTTCGCAACGCAGGGACTTGGATTCGGACGCATCTTGGTACAAATCGGTACAGATGCTACACGACAGGAACAACGAGGTGTGTCAGGTGTTACGCCAGTGCCCCTCCCCTTTGGAAAGCGGCTAGCCATCAATTTGTCGGGGACGAATTCGCTCTGCCTCCCTCCCCTCCCCTCCCGCCGCGGTTGCACCCCTCGCGGGGCGGGGGCGGGGGCTGGGGGTGGCCAGGCAGGCAGGCGTGGTGGGGGCGCGCTCCGGGCCGCCACCTGTTGGTGCTGTTGGTGGCCCGGAGGCCCGGGGACTAGGAGGGCCCTAGGACCATCCCGCCAGGCCCGTCCACAAGTACCGCTCCAGCAGTGTGCACAGCCGGGCCGAGCCGAGCCGAGCCAAGCCGAGCCGAGCCGAGCCCTCTGCCCAGCCGGGCCTAGAGGGAGCCGAGCCCAGCCGGGCCTAGAGGGAGCCGAGCCTGGACCGGCTAGCCGTTGGCCTGCCGGAGCGAGTGAGCCGAGCCGCACGCGAGAGCCGGAGCACCTTTGGCACCTCTGGCACCTTTGCACCGCCTTTGGACGGCCGAGCAGCGGCACTGCGTTGCACTGTTGCGCTGTTGCGGGACTCTGCCGGTGGACAAGCAGCGCGTCGTCCAGCACGCCGAGGGAGTTGGCCGCGAGGACGCCCGGACCGCTCCATGTGACGGAGCCCGACCGCCTAACGCAGGGACGCCACTCGTCGAGATGTAAGTCTGTGAGCATGCTGGGGCATGCTGGAAGTCACCGCAACTTGACTCAGAATGGAGGCCTTCCCAGCCCCTAGAGTCGAGCGACGGGTTCAGTTAGGCACACGGTAAATGCAGTACCTGGAATTCCCAGGCCCACCCTGGAAAAAGG